GGCCAAATGGAGGCTTCCTACTGGCAACGATGGCAACACTTGGCGGCCAAATGGAGGCTTCCTACTGGCAACGATGGCAATTGGCGACTTGACAGATGGCAATTCCTGGGTGCCCTATTAATGGAAGCTCTTTCCGAACGGAAACAAAAATCCTTCAAAAAATTACGAAATATTTCCATTGATGAACATGCCTGATTTAATAAACCAAATTTTTAAGAATAAATATTGAATTATACGGGCTTGTTGGTGCCTGAACTTGTTAAGATTTTGTCCTTAATTGAAATTATTGAAGATCTGAGAGCTGGCCTGCGATGTGACAGCCACGGGAGCAATCAACTCTAGTGATCCCAAACTGACAGCAACTTTGGACAGCAAAAGGCAACTGGTGCTGGCAGAGTTCCAGCTTTAACTGAGGAGATTGTCTCTGTATTGGATGAGAGAGTCTCTGTTTTGGATGAGAGTCTCTGTATTGGATGAGAGTATCTGTATTGATGATAGTCTCTGTATTGTATGAGGGTCTCGTGTTATAAATAGTCTCTGGTATCAAGTCATTGTCTTCCTACAAATTGAGAAATTATAGTTTCGTCTCGAAACTAATTCAAGCGTTATAGAAATTAACTTAATGTTCTTTACTGATATGAAATTCGTAGCTGTTGAATCAAATAATTTTTTCATTGTGCAACTCAAATTAGTTTTTGAAAAAAGAAAAGTTCGTAAATTTCAGCGTTACAAGTTGGATGACGTGTCACGGACGCCACTACGGTCCCTGCATGCGGTGCTCAAGCAGCAGTCAGCGGTTGCAGCTCCAACCAAATCTTCCGGCTGTAGAAAAGGTTTGCGCTATATCAGCACCTTTTTTAACACTTGTGATAACCAATTATTAAAATTTTTCATAATTATAGTGAAGGGACTTGAGTTAAACCATATTTCACTTCAACGCCCACCATATTCATGAAATGACTTCTTTTATACTCGCTTGGGGCGATGCCAACTGTAACGATCTTGCGTGCCGAGGTTCAATAATAAATTCAGATACAAAGACCATTTATATTAATTGGTGCTTACAAATTTGAATAAACCTAAGTAATCTTGAATAAAGTTAGAGCACAGGAGCGGCAAGGCGTAGGTAACGGCTTGTTAGGCAACGATGCCTAACAAGCAACGAATACAAAGAATAGAAGAAAGATACAAAGAATAAAGAAAGAAAGAGTCAAAGAATAAAGTCTAATTAACGATCAATTCAACATAATACTCAACACTGATATGAAAATAAATCCTCAATACAAATTTAATAACACCCAAAGAAACAAGATATAACACGAGTACAGTATCAACAGATACAGCAGAGGCTATAAGGACACTAGCACATTATGCGTACCTCAGCAGTTGCGGAACTTTACTTCTTGCACTTAACCCAGAGGTAAGTTCGCATTAGCAGACTGCTACGGGATCGTCAACCCGTTCTCCTAATTCTCCATTCACCACATTGGTTCCTTCAATATTTTTCTTCATATCGTTGTCTAAGAAATCCCGAATAAGATCCCTACACCAACCCCCTTGCTGAGTTTGACGCTGGAACACGAAATTATTCAATAAGATTGTTAACATAACTCGCTAAAGTCATGAGACTCATAGAGCGATAAGATGTATGAGTTTCTGCTACAACGCTGATAACTATAACACTGTTCATTAAGAGAGTTAACGATCAATCATAACGCATGAATGAACAGGTCGCTTGTTCACACGAGTGTACAGGTCACACAGTCCACACGAGTGTACAGGTCACACAGTTCACACGAGTACACAGGTCACACTGTTCACACGAGTACGCAGGTCACTAGTTCCCACGAGTGTACAGGTCACCAGTTCACACGAGTACACAGGTCACCAGTTCACACGAGTGTACAGGTCACACAGTTCACACGAGTGTACAGGTCACCAGTTCACACGAGTGTACAGGTCACCAGTTCACACGACTACACAGGTCACACAGTTCACTCATAAGCTGAGCTGATGAGGTCTCAGGTCGGCCGGCAATCGCCGTGTCGTCATCTGAGTTGTAAAGCAAGTTTTTTTCAGACTGTGTCGTTAGGCCGCAGCTTTATGAACCATCGGCGCTGCCATCATCAGGCGCTTAAGTGTTTAGGTCTCGGCCGCTCGCCGACGCTCTAATTTGCCGGCCAAACTCCGCTGCTTCTTAAAGAAGCCCTCGATGATTTTCGATTGAATTTCCTCATACTTTTTTTCAGAAAGCTCTTAACAATTGCTGAGCAAAATTGGTGACATCTTCATATGGATCCACGTATTGATTGTTGCCTGAAGTAACTTCGTGATACTAGAAGCGGCCTGTGATGAGGATTGCTGAGGAACCCTTGATACTTCGAGTATTTTATTATATGGTTCATAATTTCTAATAGTTTCAATGATTTCCTAATATCCTAAAACTTTTAAGGATGGCGCGGTGACAACTAAACGAATCTAATAATTCACGCTTTTAAGTTAAACATGTTTGATTTTGAATGTAAACTTCTGAAATAAAATAAGCCTTCTATGATCTAGTAGAGAATCTGCCAAAAATTCTTCGGAGAAGCTCCTGTTATTAGGTCATCGAATCTTGTGACGATTTCCTAATGATGTTCATTATATTTTCTCAAAAAAATTTATATTTTCATACGAAAATGTCCGGAACTCGCTGAGCAAGCCAGTGGAGGATTGCTCTAAGGAGCTCATGATACTTCCCTTTACGTCATCAACCGAAAAGCTCACGATAAAAACCTGTAAATAAAGTTTGCGAAGTGGTATTTGAAGATCACTTGAATTCGAACGAGCATTGGAGAATAGAAGGCATTGAGTAGCGCTGATGCTGGCGCGATATTGTGATTGAAAAGCGCGCCTTTCCAATGGCCGTATTATGCATCCGAGGAAGAGGTTCGCTGGGATGACGTGCTCATCTGTCAAAAGGGTTCGTTCCATCGAGGGAAGATTTCTAAATGAGATTCCCAGCTCGCATCACAGCTGCTTACTTACTTACATACTACATGGATAAAGCATAGGCCTAATGTGGCTAGGCTGAGCAGGTTCTCGTGCGATGGTACAGAGACGATAGGTCTCACTAAAGTTAAGTCTCTGTAACGGTGTAGGTCTCTCGTGGCTTTCCATTCAATGAGTTTTGTGAAGATCAATACAAATCTATTTAATATCCAAGCATTTTTATGCAAATGCACTCTTCCATGTTTTTTCTTTATGCATTTATGCTAGATACACAAGAAAATCTAAGTCATCTCGGACTTAATGCAGTAGTAAAACCAAACCAGCTTTTGCCAAGAAGCAAGCGTGGTCTGCATAGACAATAAGCATGCGTCACGTAAGCAGAAGCCTGTAGGCCTAGGCAGAGTAGGCCGCAAAGCCCCCATGCATATTTGTTCCAATGCTTGGCTATCAGCGCGCCCATCTAATGGGCTTATCAGACTCAGAGAGACGCTCCTCAGCAGCAGAGACGTGATGCTTTAGCTGATATTCAACCCTTTCAAACATCATGGTCGTAATATCGGTGGCCATTGGGAGGCCGAATGTTGGCCACCGGTTTTACTCTGGATCTCACCGCCCAGAGCAACAATCGAATAACAGGGATTACTGGAGTCTTTGCCCTCCGTGCTGCGCCGAATACAAGCAAAAGCTTCCGCTTTATTCTAAGCATTGAATTTAATTGCGCGTCCTCGTCAGAATTAAACGCTTGTAACTCCTTAATGTTAACAATCAATTAAATGAGAATTAATTCCCTGAAAAATTTATAACTCGGACTGAATAAAAAAGTTGGGGTGTTCGAATTTTCCTTAGTACATAAATTGGTGCAAAATTCAATAATTTCATTATCAAGATACGATAAGTTTCAAAGAGCGTCGTAAACTTCCAAAAAAAATCCCAGAAAAATGTAGGTTTTTTTAATTGGTTTCTGCCTTACAGATGTTTTTTAAGAGCTTCCCAGGTTAGGTTTATACGCAGTTCGGTCACCGCCGTTCCTTATCATAAAAATCGTATAAACAATCCTATTTTGGATATATCGCTATATTCCTTTCTTCATTCCTTTGAGGAAAAACACCCGCTCCACTTCGAATGAAAAATTGAAGAACTAAACGATCAAAATTCTGAACATCGCAGCAGCGTCGGACGCGGCATTTCGATCGCTTGACGGCAGGAGTCACCCTTTCGGAATGTAAATGTCAACAGCACGTGTACGTAGCGAGGCTTAAAATCAGGCCCATGCCGCCACTGTCTTCCAATTGACTTCCCAGCCACCGGCACGGGTGAAAAAATTGGATTCGCCGTGATTTCTCGTGATTCGATCGCATCAATAAAACTACCGAATTCGTACATTATTGTAAATGATAACAAAAGACTCTACTTATGTCTTCTAGTGTGTAAATACAAAGTTTGAGCTTCGTGGAACAGCCACGGTGTCGCAATTCTGCTTTTTTAAGTTCAGATTGTGCTGCGTAAAAAATCAGCCCCTCTTGGGCAATGTTATATTAATATCGGTATATCGCCAATCCTTTTTTGTGCAGACAGGCCTAAAAATCACAAGAATTTATTTTGTCTTAACCCTGGCAATCCTAACCTTGGTTAAGTTTTAACCCAATCAGGCTTTAACTTGGTCAAGTCTTAACTGCACCAAACCGGGACTTGATCAAGTCTTAACACTATCAGGCATTAACTTGGTCAAGCTTGATCTCCGCCAAGCTTTAATTAACTTGGTCAAACATTAATCCTGGTAAACCTTAACTTAGTCACAATTCACAAGCCTCCACACTCTTCGGCCAAGCCTTATCTTGGTCATCCTTCTCACCACAAAGCCTCAACATCGTCAAGCCCTTGAAACAATCGATCCTATTACTCGCCAAGACCTTGGAAACCTCAAGCTCATAAGCACAACAAGTCCTTGAACACTCCAAGTTCTTTAATACGCCAAGTCTCTGAAAACATCAAGTCCTTGAACCCACTAGGTCCTTGAATTCACCAAGGCCTTGGACACACCGAGTCCCCCACGGGCCAGGCTCTGGAGCCACCCACCGCCGCCCCATGAGTGGCGTGGGCCGCGCGTCGCGCCCTTGGCGGGGCAGCCTCGACCTCCTGCGCCGTCGCGGTCGCCGCGCTGGTCGCTTAGTGGCAATTATTTCAACTCCCCGACGCTGACCTGCTGGTCTCGAATGCGTAGAACATCCTCGGGTGCATCAATCCCATAGTTTTTCTGTCCACCCGTCGGAACATCCATTGCTGTATCACGGCGTCTCTTTGTCACCATTTGAAGGCACCCACGATCATCTATCTTCTTCTTTGCCAGTCCATAAGCTCATCCATCCATACATCCATACATCCATCCATCCAACAATCTATCCAGTCATGCACCCGTCCAGTTCTCTGCACATCCACACTATTGCCTGCCTTTCCACCATTCGTCTTAAAGCCAGCCAAACCGCCATTTGTTTTTCAACCCATTCAGTAATCACCCCCAGATACCATCCACTGAACCACCAGACCAACTATACGCATATAAATCCATTCACTCTTCCACCTGCCCTGCCGTCCATCCATCCTACCTTCTACCTGTCCTCACATCCTCCCGTCCACCCATCCTCCCGTCTACCCATCCTCCCATCCTTCCGTCCTCCCGTCTACTCGCCCACTCAACGTCCCATGGGCGCGCGAGGTCATCAATTAAAGAGACGCGCCATTTTTTAACGCCTGCAAGCTTTAGGCTTAATGAAAAACTCGCTGTGACTTTGATGAGCGCAGCCTTCCTGCCTGTCCTGCTGCCGCGCTGTCCTGCTCTGGGTGTCCTTAGCCTCAGTGCCCTCATTCCTCTCCTGCCATCAGTGCCCTCATTCCTGTCCTGCGATCAGTACCCTCATTCCTGTCCTGCCATCAGTGCCCACATTCCTGTCCTGCCATCAGTGCCCTCACTCCTGTCCTGCCATCAGTGCCCTCATTCCTCACCTGCCATCAGTTCCCTCATTCCTGTCCTGCGATCAGTGCCCTCACTCCTTCCCTGCCATCAGTGCCCTCACTCCTTCCCTGCCATCAGTGCCCTCACTCCTTCCCTGCCATCAGTGCCCTCACTCCTTCCCTACCATCAGTGCCCTCATTCCTGTCCTGCCATCAGTGCCCTCATTCCTTCCCTACTATCAGTGCCCTCACTCCCTCCCTGCCCTCAGTACCATACCCTTTTTCTACGTTACGTGCCCTTATTCCGTCATCTTCCGTAGATTTGCTATCTAATTTCATTCATTTCCGTTTTTCCTATTAAAATTTTGATCAACTAACCCACACAACACTCGCTAGTTTTTCATAATTTCCCTATCGTTTCTTTTTCTGTCGTTTTTCGTTTAGGATCCTTCAATCTTATTCGAAAAAATCTCACTTCCACTGAATAACAACATAAAAAAGAAGATATAGCAGGAATTATAGAGGCCAATTAATGCCGCTCACTGGGCAGCAACTGCACTAAACGTCTTCACAAATTGTAGAAGCTTAATGCAAAGTTTGTGTTTCCTGCAAATTTCGATCCACGATATGAGCAAATGGTTCATTAACCGCCAATGATTCATTGTTTTTGCATCATTATATTTCTATTCATGCAATTTAGTAAAAGATGGGAGCTGTGAGTGCAACAAGCCAAGTTGTGTAAGCTGTTGTCGGCCGGAATGGGAAGAAGGGCGGGGAAGATGAGGAGGCTGGAGAAGAGACCTGAGGTTAACATGGAGTGGCCCAGGGTGTTGTGATCCTCAATAGGCATATAGCTTACCCTGGTTAAACTTATAGCGCTCCCAGCGCAAACTTTTGTAGCGTCGGATTAAGGTTGCGACCTAAGACGGCAACACCGAACCCTCTCACGCCTTCTCTTCCCTCTCGACGAGCCCTCTCACACCCTCTCTTCCATCTCCACTAGCCCTCTCACGCCCTCTCCTCCCTTTCCACTAGCCATCTCACGCCTTCTTTCCTCTCTATGAGCCATCTCACGTGCCCTTTCCTTCCTCTCTCCGAGCCCTCTCACGACCTTTCTTTCCTCTCTACGAGCCCTCTCACGCCCTTTCTTCCCTCTCTACGAGCCCTCCCATGCCCTTTCTTTCCTCTACGATCCTTCTCATGCCCTTTCTTTCCTCTCTACGATCCCTCTCATGCCCTTTCTTTCCTCTCTACGAGCCCTCTCATGCCCTTCCTTTCCTCTATCCGAGCCTTCTCACGTCCTTTCTTCCCTCTCTACGAGCCCTCTCATGCACTTTCTTTTCTCTCTACGAGCTCTCTCACCCCTTTCTTTCCTCTCTACGAGCCCTCTCTTGCCCTTTCTTTCCTCTCTACGAGCCGCCCTCTCACGCCCTTTCTTTCCTCTCTACGATCCCTCTCATGCCCTTTTCGTCCAAATATCTTTCCCCACAGACGGATTATAACATACGGCATTTTTGCTATACTTATTTCTCGTCAAGTCTAACGTGCTCGACGCTTTGCTTGGATGTCGGTACAGGCACTTCCTATAATCGTCAGGCATACTAAATAGAGAGTGATACTCCTAATCCATTTGGCACTGCCACTCGCTCTTCTTCAAATAGTATATCGTGTAATGGTGGTATATTACATAACTCATGCACATTTCCTAACTCTTACTCACTCTCTCCCAAACACTCTTACTCACTCTCTCCCAAACACTTTTACGCACTCCCTCCCAAACACTCTTACTCACTCTCTCCCAAACACAAACAAGGATCTTTTCTGAATCTCCCACAAATGCACTTTATTTTTAATTCCATATTGAGTTCAAGTAATTTATAGTTAATTTTGGAATCGGTAGAATTAGAAAAAAATATTCTTTTCTATTGTTTATCATTTGCAAATTCAATTTTGCTGGTGGTCACCCAACACCATGGCCACCACGCGACGAATAATTTTCACTCTTTTCTTACATATTGTACGATATTCATGCTAATTCATTTTATATCCTGAAAAAATATTTCACTGTATAACTAATCTTACACCGAATTGTCCAGGGTGAGAAGTACACATGTGGTGGTGCGTTAGAAGCTCATCAAGATCGCACCACTTCAAACGTGCCAGCCCTCATTTCTCAAACACAAAAACCCACGGTCGCGCCAATGTCGTCATTTCAAATTCCTTTTTGAACGAAGACCTAAGAATTTAAATGAACTTAATTTCAGTGGGCGGGAGACGCCAAAGTGTGGCCTCAACTTGCCGGTGAAATCGATCCTGCAAGACGCGCCTGAGCCGCTGACGCTCACCTGGGCCGCGGTTGTGGCGTTCGTGGTTGCAGGTTGGACGGCATGGTTGCAAGAAGCATAGCGAGTTGCCTGGTGGTTTAACAGGTAATTTTATCAGCTGGTTATGAAGGTAAAATTGCCTAAGGACCGATGATTTCTTCAGAGTTTGTTGTATGGTTTCAATGGTGAGTTGTTGGTTGGTTGCGCGTCATTCATATCTACAAAAAGAGCTGCTCGACAGTTTACACAATCAGTTCCTCTCTGAATCGTAATCCCTACCTGTTGCACACTGGGGTAAGCGAGCGGTTGCATGCCTGCTAACTTACGCTTTGGCACTGAACAGATATTTGTTTAAACAGAATCAATAGAGAGTATACTTTTCGGCTAAGATACGACAAATCCGAGATGGAGCTCTATAGCCTTCCAGGGCGCAGTAACCACTGATTATAGTGCCACACTGCCATTCAGAGTGACCATGTGGGCTGTTACCTCGTCCAATTCCCACACTCTGCTGGAGTTTTTCTGAGTGAAGTTTATCATCCCCCGCTTCGATCTCACCACATTCTCACCAATAGTTGGTACCTTACCTCTTTTTCAACTGCGACCTCTTCTTCAGCTTATGAGCTCCCGTGCAGGGTGTGACTTCCTCATATTTCTGGGACCTATTCCTCTTCTGGCTAGGTACACTCCCTTTCCCCATGACTGGGACATTATTCCCCCTACCCCCCCTGCTAGCCGGGACCCTGCGATATGTAAATACTCTGAAAGAGTTAGCACCGCAAGTTAGGGACCTCACGCCGCGTTCCAGCTCACATTTTCCCCTTCAAAATATGAATTTATTAAAAATGTCCCAAAAAACACGATATTTGCATAAATTTTGCTGGCACTCTCCCATCCGAGGGTGAACACAATGCTACAGAATTCATTAACATAACAAACAGATCTTCAATTACGGAATGTTCGTCAAGCAGCTCCAGATCGCGATCGCTGGATTCCCTTCGTCGGTAGGAAGAAAATACGCAATCTTACCTTAACCGAGCCGATGAAATAAGATTTGTGGGCGGATATTTCACCACAGTGGATAATATTGTCAGCATGGGCAGTCTTACAGTCTTTGTGAATTTGAAGCTAATTCTTCTACACAATCAGTAGAGAAATATCAACATTATAGGCATGGCGAATTGAAAGACTGGTTTACCCGCATAAGAAGTAAAGAGTTCACTAATATTATAACTATAAGCATGTTGATTTGATGGGCTGGGTGTCCGCATAAAATATTTACGAAGTTATGAATATTAAGTCAATACTTTAAAATAAATATACATTTATAATTTACAAGCTAATCAATATAAATTACTCACATCAAGTAATTCTTAGAGATTCTTCGAGCCATAAAAGCACCAGCAAATCACAGCGCTTCGTCAGTGACTGACTCATCTATGGACCTGAGGCTGACCGTGGAATGCTGCGGGTTAGTGTGTATTGTTTGTGATTGGATGTAGATTCAAATTTCAATTCTATATTGTTCAACACCTGTTAATAAATATTTCGTTTCATATAAAAATGACATTGATGCTTAATTATGTCACTGAGACCTTATGCGGCTGCTTTATTGCAACTCAATGAGTAAACATGTCACGCTGTTGGGAGCTATTTGGTGGACCTAGCAACTTTAGTGAGCGAATGGTTATTTGGGACGCTTGATCCATGCCAGGATGTGTGAAAATCCTCTAAGAAGACCAAAATAAAAAATGGGAAGAATATTAATATCTACGCGGTAACTCTTGCAATGGTTTGATAGGAAAATCTTTTGAAAGGCATTCATTTGGCCTCATAAAAAACCTGGTCATTTTTGAAAAATGTATTTTGTTTGCTTCATCTTACGGTGCATGGAAGCTTTTGCACGGAATGCATGAACATCAGAACCTTACGTCAAAGTGTCTGCACGGTAGAGGCGTCTGCACGGTAGAGGTGTCTGCACGGTAGAAGTGTCTGCACGGTAAAGGTGTCTGCACGGTGGAGGTGTCTGCACGGTAGAGGTGTCTGCACGGTAGAAGTGTCTGCACGGTAGAGGTGTCTGCACGGTGGAGGCGTCTGCACGGTAGAGGATGGCAGGAGTAGAGTTTGTGGCAGGAGTAGAGTTCGTGACAGGAGTAGAGTTCGCGGCATCAGCGGTGAAGCGAGGCACAGGAATCTCGCCAAGTTCAAAATTCGAAAGTATCGAATTCATGCCGGCCGTGCGTAGGTATCGAAAATAACAGTAGTACTGGCGGCTCAAGTTGTGGCATTATTTTGCAGGTACACTAACAGTAGTAATATCTGATACTTTATTATGGAGCGTTAGTATGGTGCGACTACAAAAAAACTAACACGCATAGTAGAGGGGATAAATTGCAGTATAGTGGGAGTTTTAATTTCGTATTATCCTTGGTGATAGTCCCAGTTTAATGTGAATTTGAAACATGTAGAATTGATATATATTAATTAAGTCCAAAAGGTTATCTAGATACATCGTTACACGATTCTTCCTGCACGCCGTATGCTGGAGCAAATGACGTAGTCGTGGCCCTTGAGCTCTGCTACAGCTCCGTCAAGAAGCCCTTGGCGTAGTCCATGTAAAAATCTCCCTGAGGAATGGCTACCAGATTGGAAAAAAATCCGTTGCGAATTTGGTGAGAACGAGAGGGTGGTTCTCGAAAAATATCTCAGTTTAAAAAGCAAAAACACTCGGGATTAGACCTGGCAGAAAAACGGATTCACTCTTAACGAGTGGAGTGCGGTTGGACTGATAGCGAGTTCGGCGCAGAGAGTGAAGTCCATGGACGACTTTTTGACTCACCTTCAGCCTGTGACATCGGATGTGATTGACCTGAAGGGCGACGTGACGTAGGTGGAGAAATGAGTCAGTTCCGTAGGGTTTAAAGACGGAATGAAGCTCTGCAATAAAGTAAGTAGGTTTAAAAACACAGTTGTTAGTCTTTTTTCACGGTGGATTCAGCCAACACGTTTGTGCAATATGGACGCAGAGTTTCATTCCTATCAATGTTTTTTAACAGATTGTCGTGCTATAGATTTAAAATGCATTAAAATACTTCTATCTACCAAAAAAAGTATTACACGTCCAGATACGTCATGTTTCGAAGTATTAAAGTATTTATACAAAGTGGAAGATTTTATCGAAGTAATATCGAGACTGGAAAAGTTGGACCCTCTGGACCGCACGAGGGCCGCTCCAGCGAAGGCTTCAGGCAGCATCGCTGCTCCGATGCGGCCGTTTTAAGGCGTCGATAAATCAGACGGCCGCTCTAATCTTTCCTTGTCTTAAAAAGTGTAAAATTTAGGAGCAAGGGCCCGGGGATTGTCTCATCTGCATGGCGACGTCAGAAGCATTCGTATTTTTTTATGGGCGGAACAGATGCAGTGAAGCATCCATTTCACCGCCACATTGCGGCCCAACGTTTTATGTGAACAGAGCAGCTGCACCGCACTGTCTTGTAGTGTGCTTATACTGGCCTATGCATGTGTTTTTAATTAGCCCTTTTAGCGCATTTTCTCATTTATGGAAAAAATGCACTATTTTGCTCGCCATGTCCGTCTGTCCGTCCATCGGTCCGTGACCTCAAATTTTCGTCGACGAGAAAATGCGCTCTCTGTCACTCACTGCAGTGAGTACTGAGTTATATTTTTTTATTAATTTACCTCCTAACCTGCTTGATGAAACTGCATTTGAACCTACCAACAATCTGCCACTGAATGGAATTAAGTTTTGAACAGTTTACAAATCAAGACAGGCTAGTTGCACAGCCGTTAGCCTGCTACACGGTGAGTTGAACCTCTTCAATGTTGCTTCCTGTAAACATATCATCTTGCACACAAATTTGTTTCCTCGTTATCTGTAGATAATTTTAGCTCACAATCTTTGCACTCAGTTCTTCTGCGACAAACTGCGTAGCATACGCCGCTCGTCGCAGCTGCGTAAATACGCTTCTGCGCATTTCTTCAAGCTGCGTAGCATACGCAGCAGACAAATAACAAGTAAGAAAGTCTTCGTATGTCGTCTTTTTGGTGATGATCTTTGCCACTCTATTCCAAATTATTGTAATTACGGCATACATGGTCGAAGTAACTCGCGCTCCTACTTACCATGCGGAGTCTAAGGCATCAGTTGAGCGTTCGTATTTCTTGCGTCTAGCTCGTGTATATGCTGAGGAGGCAGTCCGCTAATGACGTTCGCAGCAGGAATGAAATTATATGTTTGCATCAGAAGCACAGAATCAATGCTATGAGAAGAAGATACTGTTGACAACACGACTGATCAGGCAATTTTGATTCCTGTGCAGGCTTTGCAAGCGTGTTTCTGTTGGAAGATATGTGGAGAACACGTTAGAGTAAACGACGGCGGCAATACAAGCTTAGTGAAAGAGCTATCGACAAGGAGTTGTGTAGCGAATACATCTGAACTATTGTACACTGAGAGCGTGAAGTGTCCCTTACGAGAAGTGTGTGGGGGGAGGCTGGTGATCGTGTGGTGTTCGTAAGCGTGTGAAATCGAGATGCTGGCGAGCAAGTCTTGGCTCCGTCTTATTGCGCGCCGCATGAATATGCACGAGCGTCGCACCAATCAGCGCCGTACGTCCCGCTCCTTCTCTTCCAAGTTCTTTTCTTGTTCTCATATAATTATCGATGACGTCAAGTCAAGGTGTTGTTTCTTTAAGTTTGTTCGCTTTCTAATTAGGAGTAATTAACAGTCTCATAATTTTGCACGCCAAAATTTGAAATTTACTGCTACCGGCTCGTAGTGCTGGCTTTAACTTTGTCTTTCGTTCTCAAAGTTAGAAATAATTTTTCACTAAAATGCTACATGTATCAGTGCCCATAATACCTTATTTAACTTCAAGTTTAGGTTCTGCTTTTTCCAATTTGTGATGCGAAATCATGTTTTAAAACCTCTTTCATCATAAACACTTTTTCTGTTTCCGAATACAGACGAGAACCTTGTGCATGAATTATGTATAAAAACGAGACGTCTCCTACATATGCGAGCTTTTGTCTTTTCGTATGTGACGTTCATTGATCGCAAATGCCGACAACGAAGGACCGCGGCGACCTTCATTACGCACGAATCTTTATAACGAAGTTACGTTCACTCACGCTAGGGTCACGAACCCGACGTCGTGCCTCGTGTCGGGCATCGTCCAGCCCGGGGCAGTGAGGGTTGCCTACCCTCTTTCTGAGGGGATGTCTATGACCTCACGTTATTAGATTGCGCGGGAAAACATATACAGTGATTTTAATTGGACCTGACATAACTTCCCTAAATTTCTTTGCATATTTCAAATCGATGTTTAAGCCTCAGTAAACGACTTCAAATTCATTGTTCGACTCTAGAAAGAAAAAAATTATAAGGAAAGTCGATAGGATATATAGTTGGGAATGTTATAAGTATTAGGGATAATTTTAATTTAATATAGTTCAAAATTCATATAAGAAGAAGGTGGTATAATTCTTATCCGTTCAATGTCTTGAGTTCTATAAAACTTCTTTCTTGCCAAGTGAGAACTGATAAATAATTCCGATAAAATAGATATGTCACATTTTTTTATGAACTGCAAAGTAACTGTTGTGTTGCTGGGTAATACAAATTAGAAAACTGAAATGAGTTATAAAAAAACTGAACATTTTATTATGAGCGAGAATATCTTCATTTCTTTCTTAAGTTTTCGTCAGAGCGAGTGGCTTACATTGATTCATTACTAAACTGTTATCTATAGCGTTTACCGACTTGGTAATGTAATCATCAAGCACACTTCACTATACCTATGTTCTAGAAAAGATTGAGGCATTCCTTGTCTGTGTTCCTGGAAGCTTTCGTAACGTTATTTTTCTTGTGTATTGCAGCAATACAGCGTTGACGCTTAACATTTTTCCACTTTCCATGCATCTTCGCTTCCAATTTTCTTACTTTGATACGCAACGAACGTAATGAAGGTATCTACAACTATTTTATGTTAAGACGAAAAATCAGAGTTTCCAATTCATTTCATATTACCATGCACCTATCTGATCATCTTGGTGCAACTGTTTATTAATAATTTATGCTATCCCTGAGCTCTTCCAACTTTTAGTTTGGAAATTCAATCCGCGTTCTTTCCCTTACCCTCGACCATCGCGGCTTATCTTAAATGCAGCAAATTTCTGACGCTGGCCTCGCCTGGCGCTGTCGAGTTCAAATGCTTTCTCCCGACGCGCGCCTGAGCGCTCCTGCATCCGCTGCCAATTCCAAGACAAATGGGATTCCAATGAAAAATGGAGCCAATGGAAGGCAATTAAAAATGGGCCCATCACAGGCGATACATTCTTTATAGCGCCTTGGTACTGTGAGGGCTGTGGGTGTGAGGGCTGTGGGTGTGAGTGCTGTGGGTGAGAGTGCTGTGGGTGTGAGTGCTGTGGGAGTGAGAGCTGTGGGTGTGAGTGCTGTGGGAGTGAGGGCTGTGGGAGTGAGGGCTGTGGGTGTGAGTGCTGTGGGAGTGAGGGCTGTGGGTGTGAGTGCTGTGGGAGTGAGGGCTGTGGGTGTGAGTGCTGTAGGTGTGAGTGCTGTGGGTGTGAGTGCTGTGGGTGTGAGTGCTGTGGGTGTGAGTGCTGTGGGTTTGAGTGCTGGGGCTGTGAGGGCTGTGGGTGTGAGGGCTGTGGGTGTGAGTGCTGTGGGAGTGAGGGCTGGGCAGGGATAGGGCTGTGAGGGCTGGGGCTGTAGGGCTTGCATCGGTGTCCGCCTCATCATTATGCAGATAAGCTTCTATCGATTGCCACTCCAAATAAAATAGAGGCACTTAATGAGGAGCGTCTTCTGAGACCCTGCCCTCTACTGTTGCTTCTGTTGCTGCTGTTGTTTTTCTTGATAATGTTGCTGTTGTTGCTCTTATTTCTGTTATTGGTTCCGTTGCAGTTGTTGCCCCTTTTGCTGCTATACTTATTGTGTTGCAGGCATTACTGCTTATTTTGTGTTACATCTAGCGATTCTTCTGTTGCTGTTGTTCCCTTCGTTGGTGTTATTTTTTTATTTTGCTGTTGCTGCTATTGTTCATTTTTCAGCTGTTGCTGCTTTTCTTCATTTTACTGCTGTTGCTGCTATTGTTTATTTCACTGTTGTTGTTGCTATTGTTCACTCTGCTGTTGTTGTTGTTATTGTGCATTTTGCTGCTGGTGCTGCAATTATTTATTTTTCGTTTGTTGCTGCTATTGTTTTTTTAATAATAGCAGCAACAACGTTTATAATAATAATGAAAATAGCAATAATAAATAATAATATAATAATAATAATAAAATGAAAGCGTTTTTAATTTTGCTGTTGTTTATTGTTATTTAATTTTGTTTGCCCTACTGCTGTTTATTGTTGTTTAATTTTGTTGGCCCTGCTGCTGTTTTTAATTATATTATTTTGTTGGCCCTGATGCTGTTTATTGTTATTTAATTCTGTTTGCCCTACTGCTGTTTATTGTTGTTTAATTTTGTTGGCCCTGCTGCTGTTTTAAATTATTTAATTTTGTTGGCCATGCTGCTATTTAATGTTATTTAATTTTGTTGGCCATGCTGCTGTTTTAATTATTTAATTTCGTCGGCCTTGCAGTGGTAGTTATTTCTGATGCAGTTATGCTCATGTTGCTGTGGTTGCCGCTGTTGACTCTTGATGAAGTTTCATCTGATGTTTCATTATTTTTCCTCCTGTATGTGTTGCTTCTGCTGAAGCTGCATGTTGTGTCCCCATTGTGCATATTTATTGAGTCTCTGATGCTATTTCTAGTTACTTCTCTTACTTTTTCCTTTGCCTCTGTAGCTTGTTTTTCATATATTACTAGTACTGTACGAGTATAAGTAAAGTAAACAGCTTCTGTTGTTTAAGTGAAGTATAAGTGAAGTAAACAGCTTCTTCGCAACTATTGGACCTGTTAAAGGTGTTGATTTGTACGCTTGGAAAGACAGGTGCACGAAAACAGAGCTAAGCTGCTGCTGCTTGTTAAACACATTCAATTGATTTAAATACCTTGCAATTACTCGCATCTGAATTTTGAAAGTAACAAGATGCCATGGTTCTTCAACTTGAACTACCATGCACCATGTGAGCACATTTGTGCTTATAGTTGTAGCTGTAGTCCTCATCATATCACATTTTAAGTGATACGAATTGTTTCGACACTTACATAATGTTTTTCATTTTGAGTTACAAATTTCCATCCTGAGTTAAATTTTTTCGTTAGCATTTGGTTTGTGCGTGCATATTATATTTTTTCAGTCTTCTTTTTTTGGTTCACTACTTTTATTTCTCGTTTTGTTAGCCTATTTATACCCATGTTTGACTTCCCTCCTTATCCCTTCCACCTTTCCACTCCGATCATTATTCCATTTAATACCATTCCTCGTGCGCCCTCACCCTCCCCTCTTCTTCCCCTCTCCTCTTCCCCTCTCCTCTTACCCTCTCCTTTTGCCCTCTCCTCTTACCCTCTGCCAGGCTCACCTCTACAGCTTCTGCTCAATTAAAAATCAAGGGGAATTTTTAATATGGCCGCTATCGCTATGTCCCCACCAAAAAAAGCCACAATATTAAAGAAATAGCCGAGGAAAAATGCAAAAAAAAATCCTTGTTTTCGCAGGCGTCTTTCATCAAAGCCGCTCGTCGGACCAGCGCTAGGCGGACCATGGAGGCTTCGTGAGCTATGTTGCGTGTGAACCTTTCGTTCATAATCATCAGCATTTATTTGTATAAATTAATTAATCTCTATTTTCCTCGAGGCCAAGTGTTTGTAACCTGGCAAGACGTGATTACAATCTATTCGAGGTCTAATAAAATTAAAGAAATTTTCATCAGGTGTGACATTAATTGTTTAAAACATTTCATTCCTTATAAATATTCATTTCGTTAGTTAATGGTATTTTTTCTTTGAAAGATATTCTTCTTACTCGTACAACCAATGAAAGTCATAACTGTCAAATAATTTTTATTGGACTTATTCCTCAAATTCTCGACTGCCGTGCCTAACCCAATGGCATGCCTTGCAACCCAGCCCCCATTTATCCTTTTGATACAAACCATATTTTCTTTCCCATAAGTCAATTCCTCTCTAGTCCCCTGTTACCGAACCCGTTTTTCTTCAACGGAACAACTTGGATCTGAACCCCTCCACAACCCCCAGTCTTAACTCCTTCTGGCCTGAGCCCAGCACAGCCCTCAACCCCCTACAGTTGCTGCAACAAACCTGTAAGAAATGAACAGGCGTCGCGAGGCGGCGATGCAGTTGCTGGCCGCGGCGCGTCTATTCATTAATAACGGAATCAATTTATTAGCGCCGCTGCACCATTAATCTGGCGCGCAACAGCGGCTCCTGCAAGACGCTTTTCATTGCCGCTAATTAGGAAAGCCGGTCTTTTGGCGACTGTGGCAGTGACGCCGGCAACTGCGGTGCGGTGACGCTGGCGACTGTGGCAGTGACGCCGGCAACTGCGGTGCGGTGACGCTGGCGACTGTGGCAGTGACGCCGGCAACTGTGGCACGGTGACGCTGGCAACTGTGGCACGGTGCCACTGGCAACTGTGGCGCGGTGAACGTACGAGTCGACGCTGGCGACATTCTGAGACGACTTACATGATTGCGATACAACAACTGTAATAATACAATAACGCATACGACAAGGTGACATGCGACTTATAGCCAAAAAATTACGAGTTCTACTCGATCAGAATGTTCACTCTAATTCCATTCGTCGTTCCTCGTGAAAGCATGAAGAATTTGTACAAAATCTCAATTTTCACCGCAAATATACATAGCCCATTTCTTAACATTCCCAGAATATTCGTGCAGTGGGCGTTCACGTATTAGGCTTATTACATAGCCTTCGATGAGCATGGAACATTCTTGTTAGAATTGTTAGAACTTTCGTCAATAACGTAAATTAATATTAACTGTTTTTACGTTACTCGGACCCAGACAGGTTGAAGTTTTTTCACCGTACCTCAGTTGTTTCCGTAAATACGCATGCAACGTTTTTATCCAAGCTTTGGTGAAAGATCCACCTCATTGCTGTCATTATAACACCAACATCTCTTTTATAAAGTCTCTGCTACTACCATTTTAATCATAAATAATCAAAGTCATTTTCTTTTTTAAGCAGCCGTTAAGCATCAACCGTTTTACATAAAGTCTTCCAGTTAACTCAGATTAACTCGTTTTCTTGAAGAATGTCCGCCGTATCTACCGTTGAGCATCAACCGTTTTACATAAAGTCTTCGAGTCAGCTCAGATGACCACCCCCGTTTTCTTGAAGAATATCCGCCGTATCTACCGTTAGACATCAACCGTTTTTTGTATAAATTCTCGGTCATTGCAGCTGATATGCATGGCGAGTCTTGTATAAAATCCCCGTCATTGCCACCGATAAGAATCCGGATTTTTTTCTGTCCGTTAGCTTCAATCTCACGACGGCGGCACGACGAAGCTTCCAGACGAGTGCATTTCAGCCTCATATAGCGAGGGGCTTTTGCGCCCATCCGCCTGTTTTTGAATTGCGTAACGAGCGATGAAATTTGATTCTCAAGAAAGGGTTCGAAACTGGCGGAAATCAGGCCTCCGAGGAAGGGATGTTAGATAAGGAGACCCGTCGCAAACAACGAGCAAAAACATCGGAGATTATTTTTAGAGATTTTTATGAAATATTCAAATTTCCTGCATTTTTACAGGCTAGGTTACATTTTCCATTACCAAATAGCACGCTCGTAATTGGGTAACAAAGTATTTAACAAACCGCGTTCCAATATTTATTCCGCAGCTTTACTTGTTCTATAGCCGATTACATAAACAAAAGACGGACATAATTGCTACTTTACATGTGTGCCCCTGGCGAGTGATTGCATGAAAGAGTATGCGTTTCTGTCTAGTGTATCTTTTTCAGGAAAATATTGACATGTGAATTATCAAATAATATAAATTACAAGTGAATGACCTTTGCAACGGAAAGCCAAAGGCCCTAACACCGTTATATTAGAGTAACAAGAAAATACTTTAAAAATTTACAATTCTGAGCAATAAAAAGAAATATGAAATCTATTAAGTGATACTCCTCGCTCGGTATGTATATCTATTATATCTACTGGAATCAAATATTCATACGTTGCAGATATTATCTCTGCCAGTGCTTCACAAAATTTAAATCAACCTAACTTGTCCTAACCTAACCTGACCTAACCTTATTAGGAATTCTTCCGATTACTCGTAATTCGGATAGCGAAACTAACTCCAATTTCGATTCCTGTAATGGCCGCACTGAATCTAAACAGACCCCAATACATTTTCCGATAATAACTCATAAAGCACAATTAAGTGCAGTCTCATGCAGCCTCCGAAGCAGCGCCTCCGCCAAATAGCGAAGCACCAATGAACCATCGTCGTCAGCCTCGTAATTTTGCTGCTCAAAAGTCAATGTGTTTCCCTGCGGCAATCACAACGCACACTCGCATCCTGCAGACTGACGCAATCCTAAGCAGTCAGGCGTTGATCTCACCCCCAGCCTGGCAGCCTCGTAATAAGTTCTTGCTAATCCCAATGAGCTTCATTTTTACACCATCGCTGGTTTTTTCAACGGCCGTCCAACCGAGTACGGCCGCTACAAAGCCCCACTGCATTCCTGGTCTGGAATTAGCTCAGATTCCCAGGAGGGGCCTCAAGATGCATCGACAATTGGAACGCCAAACGTAGCTCCTTGCGAGCCCTCGATTGCGTTATTTTTTAAGTGAACTGCAACTCCTTAA